CCCCCTCTCTCTCTCTCTCTCCCTCTCCCTCTCTCTCTCTCCCTCTCCCACTTCGCTTCCTGTCAGCGCTGATCTGTCCTATCATAAAGCCAAAAAAATGCCAAAAATAAATAAGCGCAATTCTTGTCAAGAAAAAATAGACAGAAGCAGCAGTTGTGAGTAGGGTGGCCTACCCTAGCTCCGCCTGTGCGTTAATTGCGATCAATATTTTTGAAAAAATTTATCGTATGTGTTAATGTGCTAATTTTGGCAGCACTAATCACAATTAGATTTTTTCCCCCCAAATCATGCAGCCTGGTAAATAACCATCTAGCAACCACATGGCAACATGCTAACAACCACTCACAAAGCTTTAGCAGTGGCATATAAAGCCGTGGGCAAGCACCACTCAAACATAGTTCAGAAATGTGAAAATCTAGTACTGTTTGCAGTTTTTAAGGCCCCAGTTCATTTAAGCCTCAGTATCCTGTTGGATTTCATCACTATAGTAGCTGGTATATGAGAGGGATGTTTTGAGTCAGGCTTATGGGAAGAAGTTTTTGTGAATTCAGACGCTGTCTCAAAGCCTTGCCTTTGCTCTATGAAGCAGCAGAGTAAAAGCTTCTTGCATTTATCTTCCTCTCTCTGTTTGCCTGCTTCCTCTGCTGGCTTGAAGGTGACTGTGGCCAGTTATTTTCAGGATTTGTATTACTGTTTTGCATGCTTTAATTTCCCATTTAAGATCAGCTGCCTGTAGGATTTATCTTCACTGAGCACTGTGTAGAACAGCTTTATCACTGAAATGAAATTTATTGAAGAAGGGAAGGATGGCAGTATTATCAGTGTCATTTATGCTTATCCTTTGTCTTATTTATTTGTCATAACAGACTCTCTTGTGGCAAGAAACTGATAGAAAAGAAGAGGCAACCTGACATCTTTTTCTGTCTGCAGAATGTCACCGCCAACCACAGAGTCAATGATGTCATCGGAACCGAGGACGGGCATCAGACCCTGGTTGGTCGCTTCATGTACGGTCCGCTGGATATGGTGACCCTGACTGGGGAAAAGGTGAGAGAGCCGTGGTCCACTATCATAGAATATGCATTCAAACAAGGTGTTTGCGTGCAACCAAAATGTCAGTGGATTTCTTAAGGGGTTGTTGTTTTCACAGTGAAACTACTAATGAAAAAACGAATGATAATACTGGTAGTTTGGCCGCAAGTGAAAGCTTACCAGTAACTTAGTATCAGTATCAGTACACATTCAGTTCTCTGTGAATAGCACTTGCACCTTGTAATGTGTGGCTGCACATGTAAACATCTGATGAACCGCATAGTTAGATTACATACAGACGTGTCAATATGTAAACCATTCATTATCTACAGTATATTCTGAAGCCAATAACTAATATATTGGCTAATATATCTTGGTAAAGTACTAATGTAAACTTTTTTAAGTTATACTTTGACGGGCTGTAAAAATGTAAACATAATAATAATACCTACAGTATTTACTCTTTGTTGTTAAAATTGATAAAAATGACACAAAGCCACTTCATTTTACTTTCTTAATTACTGACTGTTTTTGAGTTATTCAAAATGTAATGTTATTGATAAATACTGCATGCCTTATACAATATTTTTAATATAAAAACAATATTTACTTCTAAAAACTTATTTACACTGCCATTCAAAAGTGTGGGTTTTGTCAGTTTTTTGTTTTCATGTTTATAAAACCAGTCTCTTATGCTGACCAAGGCTCTGTTTATTTGATCAAAAATACAGCAAAACAGTAATATTGTGAAATATTATTACATGTTAAGGTAACACTTTACTTAAAGCCTTTATGTGTAATGCATTATAAATGGTAATTAAAGGGTATAATCCATTATAATTATCCATAATGTAATCTTGTTGTAAATAATTATAAATGAATTTAAAAACATAGTGTAAACAATGAAGTCTTAACTGTGGTTGCAATTATTCATGAGGTTGTACAATGCATTATAAGGTGTGTTACAAGGCATGATTAATGCATTAAAACTACTTTTATAGTGCATCACACATAAAGGATTTAAGTAAAGTGTTACCCATGTTAAAGTAACTGTTTTATTATTTTTATACATTTTAAAATGTAATTTATTTATTTGATGGCAAAGCTGAATTTTCAGCAGCCATTACTCCAGTCTTCAGTGTCACAAGATCCTTCAGAAATCATTGCACTATGCTGATTTGGTGCTCAAGAAATATTTCTTATTATTATCTGTTTCTTTGATGAAAGTAAAGTTCAAAAGAGCAATATTTATTTGAAATGGAAATCTCGAGTGGCATTGTAAATATCTCTACTGTCACTTTTGTTCAATTTGTGTATTAATATTTAATGCATCAAATAAAGGAGTGTATTAAATAGCAAAACAGTGCTTGCAGTGGTTTTGAAACTGGCATATAGCAATGTCACTGGTACTGGGATCGACTACTGACATTTTGGTGTCGTGACAACCCTAGTATGCCTCAATAATCTCCATCTCACTTGCTTCCTCCCACTGTCTGTTGCTTTGTCTCTCAGGTCGATGTGTACGTGATGACCCAGCCGCAGTCGGGTCGCTGGGAGCACTTAGACACCGAGGTGACCAACAGCAGTGGCAGAGTGACCTACACCATCCCCAAAAGCAAAAAACTGGCCGTGGGGGTCTACCCCATCAAAATGGTTGTCAAGTAAGTCAATGGGACCCTGAGGATTACTTGTAATGTATCCAAAATGGCCATGCTCTCAAGGTTGTCTCAGCGGGATAATTTGCAAGCGTTCAATTGGCACTTATAAAACTCTCACCCTGAGGGCTGAAGGAGAACGACTCCTCGCTGTTAAATTGATCTCAGGCTTCATGCCGCATCTTGAGCTTGATCAAGAGCCGGATCTTTGTTCATGTCACTCTTTCCTCGCAGGGGTGACCAGACAAGCGCGGAGGCTTTCCTGACGGTCTTGCCGCGGGGGATGGAGTGTGTCGTCTTTAGCATTGACGGTTCATTTGCCGCTAGCGTCTCTATTATGGGCAGCGACCCTAAAGTACGGCCCGGAGCTGTGGATGTGGTCAGGTAACAAATTCACAGGGTGGCTTTCTGTGTAAATGCGTGTGAGAGAGAATCGATGCTTTCATTTCATGCCACAGCAATATTGAAAAGGACCGGCCTGCCGGTGAGGCACAATTGGATTTCATTTAATATAGAGATAGAAAAGTGCTGATACCAGATATCAGATGGGGTTTGGGATTTACAAATGGACAATCTTGGGTTGTTTCCCAGACTGTCCTTGGGCAAATTTACTGCTTTGTCAAATGCAATCTGTTGCTGGAGGACCAGGCGCCGTGACTGTCCAGGAATCGGTCCCCAACTGTTTTTCGCTAAGCATTATGGGATTGCTCAGAGGGTAAATGATTGTATTTTGCATGCAGACACTGGCAGGATCTGGGCTACCTGATCATTTACATCACTGGCCGTCCAGACATGCAGAAGCAGAGGGTTGTGTCCTGGCTGTCTCAACACAACTTCCCTCAGGGGATGATCTTCTTCTCGGAAGGGTTGGTGCACGATCCTCTTCGCCAGAAAACCATCTTCCTCAGGAACTTGGTACAAGAGGTTAGTCTTTTACTACCGTGTCCACATGTTTGGTATATGGGTCATTCCTGTTCTGAAGTACCTTTTGAACTCTGTAACTGTAAAATACGAATATGCCTGTGTTGAAGTTTAGGGAAGTGTTTCTATAAAAGGGTTCACTAGACTTTCAGAAATATGCTCTGGTTAAGCTCAGGCACTTTATGAGTCATAACTTCTTATGTGCACATTTTAAAACAAACAGGATGCCTATCAGGATGGAAATAAAAAGCTGTATTCAACCAGCGCTCAATGAGGGATTAAGATTTAGCCTACAATTTCCAGTTGTTTAATTAACCATCTTTCAAATGTTATGACATTATATAGGTTTTAAAATTTGATCAAGAATAAGAGTAAGATAAACAAATACCATAAAACATCAAAGATTTCTTCAAATCCATTGCGAATACTTGCTGGTGCTTTTGCTGTTGCTTTCCCATCAAAAATTATGTCACTTGCTGGAGGATGATATCATTGAGGAACTGGCTTTTGTAAGAATTTTTAACATGATGGAAAGTGAAATTTAAGAAATATTTTAAATTAAAGAAAAGATTAATGAAGAAACACTTCAAATGTTATAAATTGCCAGATTTTCATGTCAGAAGCACCCGAAAACATGGCAAAAATGGACACTTTGTTTACAACTAGTGAAATTATTTAAAATTCACATTTATGTTGAGTTAATTGTGATAAACTAGCTAATATGATTTCTGTACTTAATAGTAAGAAAGTATTTTATCCTATATATAGAAATATACACTACTTTTAAAAAGTTTGAGGTTAGTTTATTAATAAATAAATAAATAAATAGAGATGCATTAGATTAAAAATAAATTTTATTTAGAAAGGATGCAGTAAATTGATCAAAAATGAATGCTTCTTATTCAAAAAGGATGATTTCTATTTCAAGGAAATGCTGTTCTTTTGAACTTTCAGTTGATTCTGGGGGGGAAAGCGTATCACTGTTTTCACAAAAATATTGTTTTCAATTTTGATAGCAAAAAGTAATATTTCTTGAGCACCAAATCAGCATATTAGAATGATTTCTGTGATCCTGAAGACTGGATTAATGAATAAATTACATTTTAAAATACACTTGAATAGAAAATAGTTATTTCAAATTGTAATAATATTTCATGATATTATTGTTTTTACTGTATTTTTGATCAAATAACGCAGCTGTGGTAAGCATAAGAGACTCCTTTTAAAAACATTAAAAAATCTTATTGACCGCAAACTTTTGAATGGCGGAGTGTACATTTCAAATGCTGTATTTGATGGAGACATGAAAATATACCACACAGTAGGAATGAAGAGTAAGAATCATTTTTCTTTATTCCTTTACTTCTGCTTCTCTTGGTTCATCTCGCTCACGCTTGCTTCCTCTGTCTCACGCATGAGTAGTCACACAGGAACTGAGGTGTTTTTGTAGTGTATCCTCAGGCTGTCTATCACACTTTGCCCTTTTCTCATGTTGGCAGTGTCACATTAAAATCAACTGCGCCTATGGCTCCATGAAGGACATTTCCGTCTATAGCATGCTGGGCCTCAACCCCAACCAGATATATATAGTGGGACGGCCCTCTAAGAAGTACCAGAATCAGTGCCAGGTTAACTAACTTTGATTCTTCTTCGTCTTTCATTCAATTTCCACCATAACTGGTCAAAATTAATCTAGTTTTCTCTAATATCTTTTCATGTCTTCTGACCTACCACAGTTCCTGAGCGAGGGCTATGCAGTACATCTCTCCTCCCTGCAGTTCAGTCACAGAGCCCGGCCCAAGAAGAGCTCCTCGGTGCGAATGGTTCTTCGAAAGGGCTCATTTGGTCTGTCAGCCAAACCGGACTTCCTGTGTAAGCGGACACACCTTCGCCGCACCATGTCGGTGCAGCAGCCTGAGCCACCCATGACACCCAACCCTAAACCAGAGCGAGCTCAGAGCCAGCCCGAGTCGGACAAGGACCATGGGGGTGGAGGGGGTTCAGGCCATGCCATGTGGGCACGGGGGTCCATGCACCGTGGCGACACCACTCCCTGACCCAAGAGATATATCGGATGGATGGAAAAAGGACAGATGATTATGATCTTTCGGTGGACAGAGCCCAGGTAAGCTTTAGTTTTAAGCCTGTTTGCACAAAACACATTTTGCATGCTTTTTTATTTTTTTTACGTAAACATGCTCTAGACCAGTGGATCTCAACCAGGGAGCCGGGACCCACTAGGGTGCCTAAGCACACTTACAAGGGGGCCACAAGATGGCTTAAAATTAAAATAATGCTAAAAAGGGCAATATAAATAAGCTGTAAATAAATATAAATAAAGCTATAAATTAATATAGATATATATATATATATATAGATATATATATATATATATATATATACACACACACACACACACACACACACACACTGTATGTATATATATATATACTGTATGTATGTGTGTGTGTTTGTGTGTGTGAGTTTATATAAGCTATAAATGAAATAATTAAATAAAATAAGCTTTTTGAAATAAACTTTTTTTTAAGCTTACTGAAATATATTTCTTAATATAATTTTCCCCCTTAACTATGGCCATTTTTTATTTTATATTATATTTTGTTTTATTTAAGTTAGCATTTATTTTCTTTCTTTCTTTTTTTTTTTACTGAAAGTAAACATAACAGAAGACAGTAGAAAAACAAACGAATTACACCAAAACCAGAGACAAACATATGGACAAACATACAATGTGTTATGCAGCAATACTCCCAAGCCTTCTAATACATGTGAAAAGAAAAAGTTTGAAAAAACAAATAATAATAATAACAGTAGTAGTAGTGGTAATAATAGTAGTAATAATAATAATATATTATGCAGATCCAGAATGTACACATTGCTATTATTGAAGATAATAAAAAGAAAAATATATGTAAAGAAAAAGGAGAAAGAAACATTTTTCCCAATTTGAATATATGTAAAATTCCACCCCTAGTACCTAATCCCCTCCCCCTTTTCTTTTGTTACCATTGCTGTCACCCCGCCGTCTTAAGAATATAGCTTATAAAAAATAATAACGATTCAAATAAATTTCCCTGTACTTAATAGGGGAAAAAATTAGGAGGGAGAGAAAATAAAAAGAAAGATAGACAGGAAAATGAGGAAGAGGGGAAAAGAGAACTTGAGGGATATTGATATTTTTTTCAAACGCTTTCTCATAATTAATACTTTACAAAAAATAAATAATAATACCAACAAAGAAAGAAGAAAATAACAAAGAAAAATAATATCAATAAATAATTAATAGCTAATATTAATAATATGCTATATTGTTGTCATATTGCCAGTTATTAGCATCTATTTTGCATTCCTAATCTAATTATGTGTAAAAATGTCAAATGTATGCTCAGGTTCAGTGCACTGCATTCTAGGATGCAGTACCATTTATTTACCATTGCTGTCACCCCCGCCGTCTTGAGAATATAGCTTATACTAAAAAAAATAATAATAATAATTAAAAAAAAGTCCCTATGTTTAATAGGGGAAAAAATGAGGAGGGAGAAGAAACATTTTTCCCAATTTGAATATATGTAAAATTCCCCCCCCCCCCCCCTTTTTTTCTTTTATTACCATTACCATTTATTTACCATTGCTGTCACCCCCGCCGTCTTGAGAATATAGCTTATACTAAAAAAAAAAATAATAATAATAAAAAAAAAGTCCCTATGTTTAATAGGGGAAAAAATGAGGAGGGAGAGAAAATAAAAACTGAAGGATAGACAGGAAAATGAGGAGCGAGAGGAAGAGGGGAAAAGAGAAATTGAGGGAGATTGAATTATTTCAAGCTGATGATGGGAGAAGACAGCGAGATCAAATGTGAACCCATTTCCTTTGAATCCTAGGTCTTAGGGAGGCCCCTTCTAGGGCATTGACGTATGACCTAGTCACAGCCTCTCCTTAATAAACCCTAGTACAGGATGTTCACAGTGCTCCTGAAGTCTGTGCCTCAGTCGGTTGACTTCTCAGAGCCTTGCTTGCCAGACCCAGCGGCAGTCCTTTGTACAAGTCTTTCCCTTTTCAAGTAAAAAAAAACATTATTTCAAGCCAAAAGGATAAGAGAGAGGAGGGGAACAAGGTAGTGGGAGAGAGTGAAAGAGCGAGAGAGAGAGAGAACAGTGAAACAGCAAGGGAGGGGAGATGGGACAAGAGAAAAAAAAAAGAAGGAACAAGAAAGAAAGATTTTTTTTTTTCCTATGGCCATTTTTAACAACCAAGGAATTTTAAAAGTGTGATTTCAAGACCTGGAAGTCATGGAAATAATACAAATACAATACAATAATAATAAAAAAAGTACTTACATTTTTTTTTAATGAATATAACTTTTACATTTTAAAATGTACACACAATTATTATTTTTTTGGGGTAGAAATTGCTTGAGTAAAAAATAATAATTAAAAAATCTCTGTAATCACAGACTATTGGTAATAAAATGTAAACCATAAGGAGCATTTAGCTTTTGAAATGTTTGAAATTTTGAATTAAATTATTTAATGTAATTTTCTCCCCATTCCGTTTTTTCTGTATTTTTAAAGGCAAAATATACCGTGTTGAACAGTCCCTTAGGCTTTTTTGTTTGGTCTCTTTTTTTTTGGGGTAGAAATTGCTTGAGTAAAAAATAATAATTAAAAAATCTCTGTAATCACAGACTATTGGTAATAAAATGTAAACCATAAGGAGCATTTAGCTTTTGAAATGTTTGAAATTTTGAATTAAATTATTTAATGTAATTTTCTCCCCATTCCGTTTTTTTTGTATTTTTAAAGGCAAAATATACCGTGTTGAACAGTCCCTTAGGCTTTTTTGTTTGGTCTCTAATGCAAAACAGATTTTGTGTGTGGATAGAGCATGACCATGTTTTAAATTAGAGTTAAATTAAAATTTCAAATGAGCTGGCATCTAATATTCTCACCACATTACCATTGTGCTGTAAAATATTCCTAAATTCAATCTCAGCATTGCTGAATTCATAACCCAAAATTTTTATTCATTAAAACCTTGCAAGACCTCAACCCCCACGATGTCTGTTTGCAACCCTCCTTGAATGATTTAGTGGCTTTATCCTGGCAAATGCAGAAAAAGTGATTAGGGACAGTACTAGTGGCTCGACATACTTCCGAACCTTGCCATTAAATGAAAGGGTACCCCTCCTGTAGCTCTGGTTCATTCATAATCAGATTCAGGACTGTAAAAAAGGCTGAAGAATTATTAATAGAGCTCGGGCCTCCCACTGCTCATCTCCCATCACGCCGTGCAAATCTGAATGCAAATGTACAACTGAGGGGCTCCTCTGCTGGGCCCGGTGATCCGCAAATAACAGTGCCCAGACATGCCCCGACTCAAGCGCTCTTCCCTTTTGCCAAATAATGTTTGTCTGATGAGATAGATTCCGGCCGTGGCCTGTGTGTGGCTCCTTGGGAAACCGTTTGTAATTTTCTCTGATGATTTTCATAATGAAATAGATATTTATATGGGCATTCATTGAAGCATTACTGCTGTGTGAAGCGCTCTTCGATTCATAATCTCTTTCCTCCTTCAACCACACAGTGTCTTTACTCCTTCTGCTGATATTACACCATAAAATAAGACAAATCCCACCTGAGCTGATAAACACTCCTCAGTGAAGTGCCATCCGCATGGATCTGACACAACGACACACAAACTACAAAGTCCTGATGCTTTGTTTCGGCAGCAGGAGCAGAGGAAATTCCGTTTCTAAATTCAGTTTCATCCGCCCGTGATGCTTTGGAGAACTTCTGGATTTATTTAGCATTGTACAAAGGCTTCCTCGCATCACCCATCAGGAACAAAGAGGATATCTGATAAGATCCTTAGAGAAAACATCAAATTTCCTCGTGCCTAAGCAATATGGAGGAAGAGGGAGAGGGAGTATCCCGTTGCTCGGACAGGTGGCAGCGCTGACTCCTTCAATAATCCCTCTGTTTTAATATTGCAGGCATTTGTCTGCTCTCTGGGCGGCTGTCTATGGCCCGCTTGTGGCCAGACGGACTTGCAAACTGTACATTAACCTTTTGTGCCAGTGTGGCGACCTGGCCTGAACTCTTGTCGCCCCTGTTGCTGTTCAGCTGTTCAGCCAGAACAGAGTCTGACAGCGATGACCACTGCTACTGAACTCCACCCACTCCTCTGCCAGGTCACACCACGACTCGCAGCTCTGGTACACTGCAGAAGCATATTTACAACCATCGGTGGTTCTTCTTGTGCCTGTCTCTCACTCGTGTTGTAAATATATAATGAGTGGCACTGAAGCGAAATGCGTATGTGTGATGCATTTGTGTGTGGCAATATCTGCAGTGCTCACACTGCAATGAAGCATTTTCTTAATTGGTATATTTGTCTCTTTTCCAGTACAAATATTTAAACATCCCTAAACAAGATACATTTACATGAAGCATAAGATTATTTTCAGACAGTAAATCTGGGGAATAAATAAATAAATGGAAAAACTGATGCAACTGATGAATGCAATTTTCACTGACACAAATGATTTCTATATTTGAACTTTCTATTCATACAAAACATGTATTATGGTTTTCACAAAATGTTAAGCATATTCAAATCAGCATATTAAAATGATTTCTGAAGGATCATGTGACAATGAAGACTGGAGTAATGATGCTGAAAATTCAGCTCTTAAAATCCAGCCATAACAGGAATAAGTTACATTTTAAAACACATTGGACAATATTACTGTTTTACTGTATTTTTTATTTTAAAAAATGCATACTTCATGAGCATAAGAGACTTCTTTCATAAACATTGTAAAAGCTTACTGACCTCAAACTTTGGAACAGTAGTGTAAAAATGAAATAAACATTCTCTTATTTCTTTATTTTGCTTCTCAAGTAAATTGATCTTTTTAAGAATGCTCAGATATTTTGAGTGAAAACCAAGATTTAAAAATCTGATTAAGAAAACTTTTTTATAGCACACCTTAAATGGCCAAATAACCATTTTAGATTTGTATTGTAAAGTGACTAGTTGTCAAGATGTCGTCGTGTCACATTATTGGCTTTATCGGTTCGACAACTTGTGCAAACACTACACGTTGATATTGTTTACATGTAAATCCATCTCACTGGGTACGATGGTCTTGTTGAAGAACATACTATATTAGTATTTTAAAGTATACTTGAGGACAACCTTGGTGTTACAATAAATAAATGTAAATCAACAAAAGACACTATCAGGCCACTATAATGCTGTTGCCACCACGAGGGTGTCCATACTCAATAGTTCTTGTAATGTCACATTTTCCTATCGTAGTTACTGATTTTGGTATTTTGTATGGGGCTGTCTATTGAAAATTGCAGTTGCACAGCAAAAGTATTTATGTAATTTTATTTTGTCGTATATATAACTTTAAATCTTTATATAACACTAGAGACTGTGTGAAAGTGGGTAGGCATGAGTGTTTTAGTCTGTATCTATATGCGCGCGTGTTGTTACATGTATGCAAGTTTCTTTTGTATTTATTGTACATATTTTTAATTCAGAGATCGTGCTAGTTGCCTTTTAATCCTCTGATAGTTATAAACGAAGCCTGTAATTTGTGGAGATTTTATAGGCAAACTTTTTCATTCTTTCGTGTGTGATCATTGCTGAATTGTCAATATATATGAACGTGTTTTCAGCCTTATCAAGATGTATATTTATTTGTCTAATATCTATATTCTCAGATGGTGTGTGAAAAAGTATATTTGTATTTTAAAAACATGTAAAGTACATATATTCAGTACACAACTGTGTCAAGGCCTCTTGACAACATGTATTATTGTGGTATTTGGTCCAGTCGGTCTATTTCAGTGGATGTGCTTCTGTTGGGCCTATACCGAGCTGTATACTCATTCTTCAATAAATCATTATAGATCCTGCTTGATATATCTGTGTAAACTTTAGCTCCGTCTGTGCTGTGAAGATGTGTGAACTTGTGACCTTTTATCTGACCAGCCAGAAAGGTGAGTGCAGCTCTATTAATTCACACACACACACAACATCAGAGGAAGCAGCTCAGAGTTTTCACACTCAATTACTCTGTCAAGAGTTGCAATGCTCTAGATGGACTATTCCTGTTCTTTAATATGTATGCAAATCCAAAGCTAATTATACTATCTGATCACTTTTAAGCTGGTATGAATGATTCCTGAGCAAAACTAAAACACACCAGTCGCTTTTGTATTTCTCATTCAATTTGTTCGAGTAGTTTAAACCGAGCCCAAATAACATCTGTCCTTGAAAGCGACAAATGTGCAGACAACGGGTTTCCAGTGAAATTAACTTTTTCTTTCCTCCTCAAGGGACATTTTTTTTTCCCTTGCAGGATATTGTCTGTGGTCTTTTAAAGTCAGCAGGTGAACAAATGCTCACCATTAAAGAATGTATCCCGCTCATTCTTTGGGATGCTATGGAAATGGCCCTTTAATCACAAATCACACACTTTAGCTGATTAATGCTCCAGGCATGTGCCGGAGAGGTACATATCGCTGGGATTATTGATGGATGCTTTCTAATCTATTGTTCTCGACATGCCAGCATTGTTGCACATTTTTGATTGAATGCGTCTTCGTTTTGGACTCGCATGGTAATTACTGCTTGCAAATATTGCAGATAATTGCTTGTTTTATCAACAAAATGAGAATTAAAATTCATTGTTTTCTTTCTAGAGTGCAAAGCAAAATTCATGTTTATTTTGGTATCGTTGGATTGCCTTGAAAAGAAAATGTCCTGTCTGCTTTTCTGTGTTACTGTGTTTAGGGGAATAAAACCAGATTTTTAACTATTTGCATTTTCATCTGATCCGATTTGAACTCAATTTTTCCTTTTATAGAAAAGCCACGGATGTTTTTTCAAAGGCAGGGACTATATCTGAAACATCACAAAGGAGAAACGAAGCCTATTTCAATCTGATATACTGTAGATTTTAAAATGAATAATTACTCATTAGTGCCTTTCTCATCATTATGAAGATTGGTCCCAGCATGACACCATCTAGTAGTTACTGGGGTTTTTTCCATTCCAGCCTTTTTATGGAAGCCAATCAAACACTCAACACATTATAGATATCATTCCAGTCAAGAGGGCCCTTAAGACCAGCAGTTTCGTTGCAGCGTTCTTTAAGCATGTAGATTTGTGTGAATATGGGGCTTTTGAGACTGTTGAGTAACTTCCTGGATGATTTTTGGAATGAGTACAGGAGATGTTTTGACCTGACAAGCAAGACTCAGGAATAGAGCGCGCACCCTGAAAGCAGACCTTCTGCTAAATGAACACAAATACACATTAGTGTTCTCTCGCACTAAATATTACATGCAGCAGCCCGTCTGTCATAATCCATATCCTGCTACAGAACATTCTTCAGCTGCAGGGTCAAGCCCATGAGCCCCTAGGGGCTAGTTTCCCAGTCACTGTTGTTCATGGGAAAGTCGTGCAGTATCCAGCAGCGTCTCAAGTAAGCTCCTGTTAAAGGCACTGTTAAAATGTCCTGAATCATCATTATTGTGATAGCTGAAAATGTTCAGGATGTTAAAATATTCACAGTGTGTTCATATGCAATTAGAATTTGCATAATTTGCATGTCCTTCAATTCTTAAACCAGCCTTTCTGTTGTTTTTGCTGGGTTTTTGTTTGTTTTCATTTTTGTTCATGTAGCCTTTTCCGTTGTTTTGGTTTGTTGTGCTGTAGTTTTTGTTTGTTTTTTTGTTTTTACTGTAGTACTGTGGTTTTGTTTTTTGAATTATTTTTATTATAAAATAATCTTATTTATTTTATTTGTACTGTGCACATAGTTAGCTAGCAGTTTTTTTTGTTTGTTTCCCTTCTCTTTTTCTAATTTTATACTTATTTGTGGAATTTTAGTCCTGTATTGTTTTTTTTCTGTTAGTTTGTATTTTTTTTACTGTGCTTTTGATTTTTGTTTTGCATTGTGGTTATGTGGAATTTATTTATTTATTTATTTATTTGTACTGTGTCTTTGATTTGTTTTGTGTTGCATTGTGGTTTCGTGCTGTTTTGTTTGACTTTTGTTTGTTTTGTAGTTTTTTGTCTTGTGGTTTATTTATTTTTTTCATTTAGATGCGACAGCCTTATTTTGCTTTGTTCTGTTAATTTCTTCTCTACGTTTTGAATGATTTTTTTCTTCATTCTCACAGGCACCTCGTTGGACTCTGCCTTCAACCTAAGCATGAATATTTAACTTGAATGTCATATCTTTTGTGGTTTTAGATGACTTCATCCAGCCTTACAGTAATGTGTAACCTATTCTATTAGATGCTGAAATCATTGTGGTGAATCATTCAGATGATTCAGTCATGCTTCCTGAGACAGCCCATAATTTGATATCTATTCCAACCAGAAAAATAACTATTACATCATCTATTCCATATATGACGCCTGGTTACCAGTGATGAAATATGTTCGTGGAAACTACTATTTCCATATTTTATTTTAAGATTCATGAGCTACGATCTTGGAATTATGGCACATCTGTTATATGTACTTTCATGACTTGAGAGAAAAACAACTCATACATTTGATGTATGAGGAGGAGCTAATTTAGTGAATAATAATCTGAACTGTTAACTTGAATGTTTTTTTTCCATCAAGGAAATAATGGCCATAGACCAAGGCCCTGAAAGTCAGTTTGACCTGCTCTTGCTGTCACTCTAGTCTAGTGTATACAAAGACACTTTGGAGAAGAAAGTGACAGATGAAATAAGTTCTATTAAAGATTTTTGTGCCACAGTTGCAAGCCTCAGGGGATTTAATGTGACATGTGACCACCCTGGTGTCCTGGTTCAGAGCGTAACCATCCTCCAGCCTGACATTGAGGGTTAGCATGTACAGAACAGCCTCAATCACTGTTACCGCTTTCATTCTCTAGAGAGGATGTGCACTATGTACTATCCTTTCTGAGTGCGTAACAATCAATATATTGCAGTGTTAACCACAAAGCAACGGGGCCATTTTTACATAATTCAAACCAATTTTCTTTCAAATGGTCTGACAAGAATGGACAATAAGAGGTTCCCATCACCTCCACACAGGGCTTACAGACCATCTTCATTAAATGGAGACTGTGGATTCTGTTTTAAGTGGCAAGTGAAGGTGACCTGGTGATCTTCTAAAGTCAGATTATTTCCTCCATTTGTTCCTTCTCCAGGAAGCTAGTTTATTTGTGTTCAGTTGAGGTAACAGTAAAAGACATTCAACAAAAATTTGAAAAGTTAATGTGATTTGCAAACACACTGTCTGCTCAATTCTTTCTCTCACTCCATACTTTTTGAGAGTGTGATTGCATAATTTCATTAAACCATCTGCCAAACAAGAAACTACTGTGGGTAACAACATATGCCAAAGCTGTATATAACTGGCTAGGAAACAATTTTAAGATATTACTGACGTGAAGTTGCAGCATTTTTGGGTGCACATGGCATGCTTTTTCAAATTTTTGCTGTAGGAGTAGTGCTGAGTTTATTCTGTCTGTCATTTCCTTGCATTATGACACTAGGGATAATAATCTAACTCTTTTTTTTTCTTTCCTTGA